CCCCAAAACCCCAAAACCCCAAAACCCCAAAACCCCATATGACTGAATAAGTTGATATAAAGTGATATTGACAGTCAAGCAAGTATTATTTAATAATATAAGCATCGTATATTTATAGCAGTAGTACTATATAAAACACAATGGAAAGCAACAAAGCAAACAAAAAGAGAGCTGATCGTGATCCACTTAACCAAGAGACAGTCGATACTAATGATGTAGACATGAGAGACACCTCAGAGATTGATAGCCAATAGAGAAAGATAGTCAAAGTAAAGAAGAGAGCCTAGAAGTAGGATCCAGAAATCTCAGATGAGGGTGAAGGAGGCATTGTCTATTCAGAAGATGAGTTTGAAGAGGAGCATATAGTAGAGCGCAATGAGGATTACGGAGAAGAGGATGGCTGGGAAGATGTTGACTCCAATTAATCAGCCGAGGAAGAAGATGAGCAGATGACTGATACTGGCAATACCAAAGTTAAAGCAGCTGCAAGTAAAAATCCCAAGATAAAGGAAATTTGGGATGAAAGCAAGGAGCCACTCTAAGAAGGAGAGGAGCTAGTGTTCGACAACTCAGCCTATCAAATGCTTCACAGAGCTAAGGTTGAATGGCCTTGCCTCTCCATCGATATTTTACTAAGAGATAGAATAAATCATCATCAGCAAAATAATAATTGGTTCCCTGACTACACTCATGCCCTGGACCCAAAGAGCATGATTAAGGATAAAAAGGGAAATATGATACATAAACATGATAAATTCCCCTATACAGTTTATTTCTGTGCAGGTGCCCAGACAACTAAGAAGAGTGACTAGAGAATATATGCAATGAAGTGGAGTGAAATGTGCAGAACACTTAAGGATGATGATGAAGTCAATGAAGATGAAAGCGATAGCGATGCTGAGAATGATAAAGACCCAGTGATGAAATTCAATTGTGTTCCCCATAAAGGTTGCGTGAATAGAATTAGAAGCATGCACGGTACAGGTATAGTAGCAACATGGAATGATGAGAGTGAAGTTGCCATCTATGATATATCAAAAGCAATTGAAGCATTAGATGAGGTACCAAACTAAGAAAAAAAGAAGAAGAATGAACCTAAAGGTTTTGGAGGATGCAAGTTGGCTTCATTTAAGCATAATGATGAGGGATATGCTCTTGATTGGTCTTCATTGACTTGGGGCAGATTAGCTTCAGGAGGATGCAACTCATAAATAAATCTATACATTCCATCTGATGAGACTTGCTCAAGCTTCGTCAAGGAAACTTAGGTTGGTCTCTAGGGTCACCGTAAATCAGTAGAGGATGTGCAGTTCTCACCTTCTTAGGAGAATGTCTTGGCATCCTGCTCAGTTGATTAAACAGTCAAGCTCTGGGATCTAAGGGCAACTGCAATGAAGGCTCAACTCTCATTCAGAGCTCATGACTGCGACGTCAATGTGATCTCTTGGAATTCTAACACTAAATTCTTATTGGCTTCTGGAGACGATAAGGGAGAGTTCAGAATCTGGGATCTCAGAATGCTGAGACCTTAGGATGGAGTAGAGCAAAAAAATTTTGACTCAATTACAAGAATCAGATGGCACACTCAAGCTATCACCAGTCTGTAGTTCTAGCCAGGTGAAGAGAGTGTACTAGCAGTCAGCTCAGCAGATAATAAACTTACTCTTTGGGACTTCTCAGTCGAAGTTGATGAAACAGCTTAGAACTAAGACGAAGATATCCCACCACAGCTGATGTTCTTGCATCAAGGATAGTAGAACATGAAGGAGTTGAGATTCCATCCCTACTATAAAGAAATGATAGTGACCACAGCTGAGGACAGCTACAATATATTCAGACCCAATCTTGATCCAGTAGAGGATGACCTTGTGAACCCAGTTGCTGAGAGTGATCCAAATAGCAATGAGGAGAGCAAAGCTAGTGATGTCACTGCTGCCTCACACAAACCTCAAAACTACTATGTCAATTCAGATGACGAGGAAGAAGAAGAGAAGAGAATGGTTAAAACAGCTATAAAGCTTAACAAGCAACGTACAGATAATAAAGAGAAAAAGAGTAAAGACGGCAAGAGAAGAAAAATAGAGTGACTCAAACTAATAGTTTTATTTTAGACTCTTATTGATTATTTATGCTTTAATTAATTAATATACTTTAAGTTCTATATTTACAAATTATGTATTAATGGGGTTTTGGGGTTTTGGGGTTTTGGGG